ATGTTTTATATAGGTATGGCCCTACAATATATGTTTAAAATATAGCATGATAGGTCCACTTTAAGTAAATAACTAAAACATTTTGTCATTGTTTTCTAATCAATTGCATTCAATACCACAGACCTACGGGAGCAATTTGGGGTTGAGCATCTTGCCCAATGACACTTCCACATGCCGACTGTAGGGTTTGGGGATTTAACCACTTACACTCTGATTGGTAGACACATATTTTATATGGGGTGTGTCAAAATAAAAAAAGATAAAATATCGATAAAAATGGTTTTACGATGTCTAAAGTTACTGATAAGTCACGTGTTTCCTGCTTGAGGCGCAGAAATCTTTGGCCATTGACTCTCGTTATAAGTGGTGCATGCGCAGTCCGCAGCTCACTGCAACAGATAGGAGCAGCTCGGGGTGCACCAAATGGCGCCCAAAGCAGCTGTTTACACCGCCAACAACTAGGGGGTAGCAGCAGTGCCAGAGTGAGTGATTGACGTTTGAATGAGAGAGAGCTAGACGGAGACGGAGTGTAAAAAAAACTAGATTGCGAATATGGAGAAGGAAAATGATGTTTAATCACTTAAAGAAACACCCTTTGAGAGGAGGACACTGGAGGGAAAGCTGAGAGTAAAAGAGCTCGGACCTGTTAACCCTGACATAGGCAGGAGTTAAGGACAGAGGAAGGCAGTAAAACTGCTCTTTTTCAAGGAGCTGGTTTAGCAAGAAGGCTGGACTAACTACCTGTAGCAACACCAGTGCTATATTTTGCTCCCCCTTCCTCCTTCTTCAAACGTCAGTACCAGACCAGTCTATGGACTAGACCCAGCATGATCCAGACGGATGTGAGTGACTTAAAGCACATATCAGAACAAACTAAAAAGCATGAACAAACTAGAGTCCACATGGATGATGCTATGCGACTAGCCATGTTTAGGAAAGTAAACACATCTCTCCAATGAGGACTACAGGATAGGATCTGTAAGCATAATAAGGAGGTTGAGAAAAACAGGCACACATTTTGGTAGAGCCCCCCCTGGAGAAAAATGCACCAGCCGCCACTGGTACAAGGGCTTCATCAGGTAAGCTATCCGGTGGCCCATTTACCTTCATAGACACACTAAAACTGTATAGGTAATATTTACTTTCCATTTTTGTTGATTTTCTTCACCTCATTATAATATTCACTATCAATACGCTTTTGAAAATATGAGTGTGACTTACTCTGGATGCTAGGGCTGTATGGATCCACAATCCTGATGGAAGGCTCCAACACTCTGTAGATTACCTAGGTTAACAAATGTAAACTTATTATGCACACAGATACAGACACAAATATATGAACTATATGAGATTAGAACTAATAGTGGAATAAGCAGTGTAGCTTTATACTGAATCAGACTTTGTGGTCTGTATTCCTGAGTGTACATTTTTGCTGGGGTTATTCAGGAGCTTTGGTTCTTTGTCCTCTCTGTTTCAAAAGTTGTCTATTTGATCACAATTGCTTAAAAACTCAAAACATTGTCTTAAGCTTAAGGGCTAATTTGGAAACTGAACATGTGGCTTTTTGTGGTTGTTGTTGCTGTGGCTAAGTGACCAAGTCAAGTCAAGGAAGAGCTCAACAATAATGGGTTGTCTTTTGCTCTCTTGCTGTAAGTTACATGAGGTAATAAAAAACACTTTGCTGTCTGTATAATACAAATGAAGCTTTTCTGGTTGGCTGAGCTTAGAATAAAGAGTGGAAACAGCTAGCCTGATTATATAAGTTTAAAAAAGGTGCCTACCTACACCTTTACATTTTTGCAATGGACAAATACTGTGCCTATCATTAAATATTCCTGTTATCTATCTCTCACCTCTCCCTCAGTTGACGGCTCAATGTCAGAGTAGCGGGACTCGCAAATGACATCATTAATGTTGCGCAGAGGACCCTGGGAGACTCCGGGGAATGCAGAGGCGCAGTCATGGGAAAAGTAGCGGTAGATCTGCCAGGTGCGACCAAAATCTGACGACCGTTCAATCAGCATGGCAGCCGGGCGGAAAGTCTGCAAAGAAAAATGTCTTAGAAAAAATTCTACCATGAATTTGCTACAAATATATATATATATTTTTAAAGACAAATGGAGATGTTAGTCATGGTTTTCAGCTACTTGGCAATAGAGTCGTATTTAGTCACTTTCTAGCAGCCGCCTTTTTCAAGACATCTAAAAGCTTCAGACATTCACGTGTGGGGTATTAACTGATATATTTAATGTCTTAGAGCAAAACACTTTCACCACAAACATTATTTCAGGCATCTTACAAAACACAATTTCATAAAACCATTGACTTTGAGACAAGGGAACCGGAATTGCTAAAAAGCCAACACATTCCCAGGTTAAGGACTCATTACTGCACCACTCATACAAGCCAAACAAAGTTAACAATCATGCTTTTTTCCTACCTTAAAGGTCATAATCAGGTGAGTGAAATGAAACTCTGCTTCCAGATCCAGCTGGATAATGACATCAGACTTTCCTGTTGGACAAAATAGTATGTTAATGAAAGCAACTTTATTGTATTAATACAATATAAACCACATGTTCCATCTATATCATCACTTTCAGATAGATGGGTAAATGACAGTTACAGTATGGCTAGGAGGAGTAAGTTAAGTAGCAACCAAGATTTTGGCTTGAGGAATGGCATGTTGGCAGGAAAACTCATTCAGTGTTGGCAGGACAAATTGCAGAGTGCATGTTAAAGCCCACACACTTCCTGAGTTATACTCCAACAAATATCCTGAAGAACCACTTTCACTCTTCTTCTCTGTTTTGTATTACACGTACACGTAGAGCACAAGCCAAGAGGATTTCCCCGCTCGTGCATACTAATACATGAAAGCGGCAACACGTCAATTTTTTCTTTTAGAACCTAACACTCAACTTTTTTATCTGGTGATCTGAAGACAAACCACAACATAGGTCTGTGATAAACATATGCATATGTTTTGGGGCCTACTCAGTTACATGTTTTGGAAAAATGCATGTGCCCTCACACATCCATGTACATGTATAGTGGGGAAATCACCTTTTTAACATTTATGACTTGCAGATAATAACAGTGTGAAGGTGTGTGGCAAACAGCCTAAGGCATGATAGTAAAACCAAAACCGGAGTGGGGAAGCAAAGGAGAAATGCAGATGGTATCCTGTGTTATATAAATATGGTCCACTTACATATTTAAGCTGCACTCAACAATATTTCAAATGTGTGGGAGGTTGTTATTGTGGAATACTGTCCCAGAGTTGCCAAAAAAAGAGTAGAGAAAAGCCTGTTAAGTGACTAAGTACTGGAAACCCTATAGCACTTGCTATACTGAAGGCTACTTTGAACAAAAAACATATAGCTTGTAGAGCTATATGTGACAAGTGGACATGAATTTGAAGTACCAATAACAGTGGTGTGTTGTGTAGGAACCAATAACATATCGCCGCTTTAGAGGAACCTGGGCTGCTGCACTCACCGTTAATACAATAAAGGGATTATACACAGCATATGCATTGTAAAATAAAGATATAAGAATGATCTTGCAGTGGATGAAAAGGTGAATATAGTCATGCTGACAGGAAATTGTTCCAAAACGTGCAATTCTGCATAATTAATATTTGTTCTTTGATTATTTTTAGTAAATGTTGGTAATAAAAGTGCTACCTAAGTAATATTTTGGGACCAAGTCTCTGACACTTATATTTAAAAAATGTGGTTTATCTACAGTAACAATCTGAGTACATCTTTTATCACTGGAAAGATTATTAATCTTGTGTCAACACAACAAGTGTTAGTGCTGGTCTTTTTCTAGCCAAGAGCTTACAGTTGCCCACAGAAAAAGAGTGCAGTTTGTTTCTATATATATATATAAATATGCTCATTTTCATATTAGTATTTAGTGTCTCTATTGTGACATGTTTCCATCCTTTAATATTCAAAAAGCAATTTTTTTCTCATACCGTCTGTGCTGCAGCACCTCTTTTCACCCTCTGTCTGAAACCAGAGCCCAGTCTGCTCTGATTGGTTAGCTGGCTGGCTCTGTTGTGACTGATCAACAGCTAAGCGGTGTCCTGTCCTTTAGCCTATCACGTACAATGTGTTGGCGTGCTAGCTAAAATAAGCGTGAATGTTACAGAGTTATGTCACTATGGCAGAGTGTGTGGGAGAGAAACTCCCTCAGCAGGGAACACAGGGATGTTAGCCTTGGCAGACCATTTAAATGCACAGAAACCTATAGAACACACTACAGGAAAGGGAAATCCCAAAAAGCATAATATGGACTGTTTAAAGAGTACATCTTGCTGATATAGAGGTTGGTTGGGCAAGTCATACATAATAAATTGTAAAACATCACTCACAATAAAACCTCTGTACTCATATCAATCACCAATGTGCCAGTGTGCCACGGTCACCATGGAAATGCCCTTAAAGATGCCATGGAAAGTGGCAGCAACCAGGGGTGAAAATAGCCTGATACTTCCTGTCCCCCTTCTTCTTCTTCTTCTTCTTCTTCTTCTGTTTCTCTGTTCTATTCTGGGCCTGCACTGCTGCTCATCAGCACTCCATCACAGCAACATGGCTCACAAACAGATACAAATGAGCCTTGTGTCCACCTCTGCACACAGCTTTGACATTGTTAGAGGAAATACATCAGTCCCCCTTCCGTCTGTTCCCTGTTTGTTGCCATCAGAGCTTTTTCCTTTTCTCTTTCCCCGTTCTCTCTTTCCGTTTAGGAGCCAGAGCAGGACCTACTCTGTTATTAAGCCCATCTGTAGCTGCTCAGAGTGTGTTTGTCGTCAAATGTAATACTGCTTTTCAATTCTCTATAGCTACCAGTTTCTTACTGCTCGTGTGGTTTAAATACATTTAAAGGAACCTTTGCTGCTTTCCAATTGGAATATTTCTGCTTCTATATACACCGACTCATCTTTTTATATCCATTTACTTCTCCCCTCTATCTTGCCTCAATATATATAGCTTTAACTTCAAAGCTTAACCTTCAAGTAGAGGCCATATTCATTTAGTCACATAAACATACTTTGGCAGGGTAAGTTTACGTATGTGAGTTACGTATGTTTCACATATTTGGTAAGTGAAATAAATTACGTAATTAAAAGTTGAGTTTTGGTTTTCCTTCGTGACACAAACGATGGGCATCTTTCCAGATTGCCTAAAGCTGTTTTCACATGACAAGTGGTAAAACAGCTCTGCATTGACTTGCCATTCTGGTTCTATAGAGATGCAGAAGTTCAACCGCTCCTAAATGTCGCCAAGCTTGATAGCTTGCACTCAAAGTTCAAAATATGTCAACTTTTACGTTGATTGTGGATTTCCTTTTGTACCACAATCAGATGACAACTGACAACTGTGCTAAACTGTGCCAAGCTGTGCTAAGCTGTGCCAAGCTGTGCTAAGCGGCGGAAGCTCGCAAGGGAGGTAACCAAAAAAAGGAAACTTCATTTTCACCACAAGGCTCTGCTCCCATCCTCGCGGTGAAGAAAGAGTAAATCGCATCTCATGAGAAGGTAGATTGACTTATTTTTTCTCTCATATCATGACTATGGCCACTAGAGGTTACCCCCTAACAAAAAGGTAAATATGGGTCAAGATGAGTTGCTTGCAGAGACCACCTATGCGGCCATTTCTTTTTTAAAGAGGACTGTCTGAAGATTTATGTCAATTCATAAAAAAAGTGAGAACAGAGTCTCCTCACCATTCTCCGACTGCCACCAGGACTTCTTGCGGTGAGGCTTAAAGGTGGTGATGACGTTCTCCATGCGGTGATTGATGGTGTTGTACACTGGGTCATATGGCCGCCTGGAGTCACAGTCGAAACACTTCTTCTCATCCTGTGGCAGCACAAAAAAAGTTTAGAGTTACAAGGTCAAAGGTGAAGGACTTCAGGGGTCAATGAGAAACACAAAACTACAGACAGAATGTAGAGAATGGGCCAAGAGGTGCAGACACAAAACTCAGTACAAAACACAAACACACGGACCTGCAAATGGCTGACAATGCAGTAAGGCTCCTTTCTCCTCATCCCACATGTCGACGAGGCCTTCAGGCTCTTCTCTCGTCCAACCAGCAAGTCTCCTGTTGCCGGGTAACAGCTGCCATGGGCACAGCCGTGGCTGTAGTCGGGCTCCTGGCCAACGGCAACAGCCAGGGCTAGAGGGAGGGAGACAGGAAATGGATTACAATCAACAGGAAACTGCAGTGCAGACTGGCATTGTACTTGAATAGAGCAAAAATGTACCAGCTTGTGTTGGAAAATACAATTCTTGAAATCACTTCTCTTCTTTATGGCATAAAAAAGGCACAACATCAACATGACTTATTGCTTCCTAAGGGAGACAGAATCCAGAATGGGGAGTGAAACTGCTGGAACCTCAGGAGCTCAATCTTTGACAGAAACCTGGATCAGTTCTTCATTGTGATTTTGCTCCAGGAAGATATTATCATAAAGGAGTGAATAAAGAGGCGACAGGGATTCAAGGATATGTCTCTTGAATGAAATATTAGAGTCTTCTGTGTAAATTGTTTCTATTAGAGACATTGCACAATTGTTATTATTGTAAGATGTCTATAATGTTTTTGTGACTTTTAAGTTTGATTTAAGTGTGATTTTGTTGAAGTGTAAAGTTATATTTCTAATTGTATTACAAGATTGATGTATTAAGTGAGAAATATGACCTAGACTAGCATTATGGTTAAGAAGATTGGGTTAGGGCTACATTGGAACTATCTTTTACCGAGCATGCAGCAAACCTATGGTGAAGCTTTATTTATTTTTCTCAGTAAATAAAATGTTTTGATCAGATGTATTTATTTTTTATTTGTATTAATTTTTTTTAATTTAATTTATTATTTTATTATATTTATATACGCTTTAATTTATCTTTATTTATTTATGCTTGATTATTATATTTTAAACGTATTATTGAGGGCAGTACAAAAAAACAGAGGTAGGGACATCATTACATTACATTACATTGCATTGCATTTAGCTGACGCTTTTATCCAAAGCGACTTACAATAAGTGCATTCGACCAGGAAGATACAACCTTGAAGAAAACAGAATCATATATGTACATCAGGTTTCACAGAGCCAAACATTTCAAGTGCTACTCAACTGGCTTTAGATAAGCCAGCCCTTTATTAGTATATAAGTGCTTTGTTAGTAATTCTATCGCTCAAAGTGGAGTCGAAAGAGATGAGTCTTCAGTCTGCGCCGGAAGACACATAATAGACAAAAATAATAAAACAATAATAAAACAAGAACCATACCAAGGCACAATATTTAATAAAACAATGTGTGGGCATCAAAAGGAAGATTATGGTAAATGATCAGATTTGTCATGGTTTACAGCTCTTGGAGAAATGCTTCCTACACACTTGTTGTGCAGAAGCCTCACCAAGGTCATGGGGTACAGAGGGTTTATTGAGCTGGACCCTGGCCCCCTGCGACTCCACAGCTACTGCTTGATCAGGAGCCGGGTCAATGTTGAGACAACCTCCAGTGGGAGGGGGATTATCTCAGGACAATACCCTGCAGGTGAACAGGCTCTGCTGTCTGCAGGAGGCCCAAACAACTGACCTGACGAGAGGCCCAAGCTACAGGCTCAATCTGGAAACTACAAGGTCAACTAAGATCATCAACTTTTGGAAATAATCATACGTATTCAAAAGAATGGATCTCATAGCTTAATCCTCCAGATGGAGATGTGAACATATCTGTCAGAGAAGTACGAAAGCCACAAAAGGCAAGAGAGAAGAACAAAATACCTGTTATCTGTTTAATAAATCGGATCGAAATGTTACACTTCTATAATTATGGCTTAAAACTTTAAATTATTTTACACGTTTGAGGTCCTTACAAAATGAAAAAAAGAGGTGGGGAAAAACGTTTTAAGGTGAACAATTGTTTTTGCATCACTTATTGCTCAAATGTACCACTGCCTCATGTTGTTTTTAGGACTCAAGCTGCACATTTTCACCAATTAAAATGTGTTTTCTTTGGAGAAAAGAAAAAGTTGGGCCCCCCCAACACAAGTCAGGCTCAGTGGCGGCGCCAGAGATTTATTTTGGGGGTGCTGTGGGGTAACTTGACGTTTCATAGAGGGTGCTCAAACATTTAGGGTTTCCCATTTAAGATAATACTTGATAGCAACAACCAAATTAGCATACATAA